GTACGGTACAGCAGCTTTCTTTCTTTCTTGCTAAAATTTTGGGTTGAATTAATGGCAACCCAGGATTCAGTAGTTTCTCTCTTAGATGAGATTCCTTAGCAGTGTTCATAAATAGTGGCCGGGTTTGCACAACTCAGCCACACTTTATCCTAGTGTTTTGTGTGAGCCTAACGTGTGGATTTAGTTCCTGGTTCAGACTGTTGTACAAAACCCACACTGCAATATGTATAAATGACTGTTAGCCAGTTAGGTGAAATATATTTTGCAAACACAGGACTTCGAACCCTGGCAACTTTCCCCAGACTCTCATTCTCTAAAGATCTGGTCTCCAACCCCCCCGAATTCTCAGCAGCAGGCATAGTGGCTGGGAATTCTGGGAGTTGTAGTCCACACATCCAGAGCCACCAGATTGAAGAAGACACGGCTGGGGCTTGACAGTCGGGAGTCCTGTTCTCCCGTGGAGTCTGACAAGTCTTGCGGGCTTAAAAACAACCATAGCTTGGTGTGCACACATGGTTCAGTTAGCCAAGCTCTGCCGAAGGGACCCAGCCTCCTGGGTCTCCCGAATACACCAAACCATCAGTTAGCCACATGGGCGTAACGTGGTTGGCTAGCTTGTGGTTCAGGGTGTGATGGGAAAAGAACTGGTACACAGACCCCTCTAAATAGAGCAAAGTCTGTTGCTGGGCTAGTCTGACCTGCTCTCGCTCCTTCCCCTCCCTTTCTCCACATGTTGTTAAGCCTCCCAGCGCTTGGGAGTCAAGATGCTAGCTTGCTATGTGATTCTGGGCAAGACGGTTGCGAGCTTGTGCGTCTCTTGCAGATCGCCCTGGGCTTGCCTTTCCTGATGGAGAACCCCGTGGGATATGTGGCCCGTTCCTTTGATTTGGGTCGCCAGTTCCTCTTCAAGTGGACCGTGAATTGGCGGTTCTTGCCCGAAGAGGTTTTCCAACACCGGGCTTTTCACCTGGCGCTGTTGACCCTCCACTTAACGGTCCTGGCGCTCTTTGCACTAAACAGGTGGCACAGGTGAGAGGCGGCAGTCCTGGGGATTCCCCCAGGCCCGACATTGATGGGAGTGGTTTTTATTTTCTACCACCCTGCTAGAGAGACACAGAAAGATATTTTTGTTGTATTTGCTGCTATTTTCCTCAGAGAGGGAGAGAGCGGAAAACAAGAATTTTTCTCAGTCTCATGATGGTCATAAGTATCCCACTTTTCCTCTAGAGCTCAAGGTGGTATGCAGGTCTCCCCCCTCTTATTTTTCCACCTTCTGGGGTTGGCTGGGCTGAGAGAGAATAATTGGCCCCAAGTTACTTGGTGAGCTTCTGTGACTGGGATGATAAAAACAACTGTAGCACACCCCAAATCCGCCACAATTTTAACTTGCCTTATGCTTTTAATTATCTAGTTCTGTGGCTTAGCCTTCTACTTCGAGATGGACTCTTTTTTTTTTTTATTTCCTGTTCCTGTGCGGTCGGCCAAGGTTTCTCACCCTGGCCACAAGATGATACCCTAATGTGATGAGGCCAGGATCATCTTGCCCTGGGAGTTTAGAACCGGATCAGAGTCCTCTGCTCAAATCCTATTTAATCCTGAAACTCCACCATAAGAATAGGGTTGACTTAATCAGAATGAAAGGCTCTATGGAGAGTGAAAGTGGCATTCTGCCTCCCGCATGGACCATGTAGACAGCTTATATACAAAAAACGAAGATAACTGTCTTGCCTTATACTTGCTCTTGACCTCCGGATTACACTTTGGAAGTGTAACTGTTATGGGTAGCTGTGAATCTACCATCCATTGTTAATCAAGCCCTCATCAAGCTTTCTCTCATCCCAGCCTATACCCATGCTTGTTAACAGGTGAGATTAAAAGTTAAGATGTATCTAAGACTGATGGCAATTTGTTGCATAAGCTTACAGTGCAGTTAACTTCCTTTCCACGTTGAGGGGAAGCACAGTGAGCTAAGACGGTCAGGAGGAATTGCCAATTTTTTTTTCCAGAGCTCAAATAGGATATGGACTAATAAGGGCAAAACTGAACTCTTGCTTTTCTTGGAAATGGTTTCTTGCCATTGCCTTCTTCCAGGCTTTGCAGTCTAGCCTGTAGTCTTGGGCTGGACCACCTGCCCTGTGTGCCCACTTCCAACTCTGTGGATTCCGCATACATGCAAAGCTGGATTTGTCTTCATGTATAAGGTCAGCAGTGTTGGAACAAAGGTGGACGTCACCCCAGAAACTCACGTATAGATGGGGCTAATCGAGCAGTCCTGGCTGAAGCTCCACCATGAAACTGCCCCATTTTTTTCACTGATCGTAACAATTCCCCTGCAGATCTGATGAAAACATCTTGTACCTGTTAAAGGACCCGGCTAAGAGGAAGAACCATCCAGAACCCCTTTCAGCAAATCATATCCTTTTGCTTTCTGGGTCTGAAAGATGTTGTGGGAAGAGCTGATCATCAGCAGTTAGGGCATTGCCCAGCATCCATCTCAGAGTTGTTTTGCACTGTGCAACTTTTCCTTAACCGAAGGCCACAAGTCGTTTTTACTCTCTTCACTTCTAACTTCATTGGAATTTGCTTCAGCCGCTCCTTGCATTACCAGTTCTATGTGTGGTATTTCCATACTCTGCCCTACCTGCTCTGGTGCATGCCGCCCAAGAAGCTTGCCCACCTACTAAAGTATGTACCTCCATGGGCCATGTGGGGTAGGGATACAAGCCAAGGATCCTTGTCACATTTCAGAGCCTCTTCACGTGTGCCAGCATTGCACTTGTTCTCTCCATACTGTGAAGCTTGTGTGCTAGGTGGAGAGAATTTGTTGCTGTTTTCAGTAGGAGTGTGTGTGTGTGTCTGTGTGTGTGCGCGCGCGCATCAGCAGTTATCTGGCCACTGAGGTTCCTGAGCCACTGCTTCACTGCCTCCAGAAGAAGGGGGTACTTGGATTTATCTGTCACTTTTTTGAGATAAATGGAGGGTCATTTTTCTCCCCTAATGGTAGTTTAAGGTTGCTAAACACACAGACACACCCATCAACCTGATGTCTGAATTATAAGTAAAACATCAAAATTGACTTTGGGGAGTGAGGAAGAGATGACTAATGTGTTAAAATAGTACCAGCCAGCCAAATCCAATATAATCTTGTAGGAGGGAAAAAATAGCATTGAACAAAATTAAATTTAATATCAGATGCCTTACAGTAACTAAGGCAGCTTTTACCAGAAGCTTAAAGTAGAAATGTTAAAAAAACATGAAACTGATTGGTGCAGAATCAGTACTATTGTACCATTTAAGTTAGATCTGGATAACCCCCCAGTTTAGGAAGGTTTCCTTAAGTTTTCATGGGCTGGAATCCATTTTATCAGACGCATGGCTTGTTTTTCTTTAAGTTTCGGGTGTTTCACCAAATGGGAGAGAGGATTCTAAGGAGTGAGGATCGAAAGAAAATGATACCTAGAAAATGAAGTGATGCTAATCTCATTTAAAGGCATTAAAAAGTTAAAATGTTCATAATTAAGACATTAACGATGCATATTCATGCTCTACCTCAGGGTTCCTCAACCTCAGCAACTTTAAGACGGGTGGATTTCAACTCCCA